TAGGCCACAACAGAGAGCATGTCTTCACAGGTGAGTTGAACTGAATTAGTTTGTTGAACATCCTTTTTGAGCATCTTGCACTCAAATTGACCTGTCTGCAGTTTAGTTATTACAAAATTGCCATCCGTCTACTGTAATTCATTGCTTACTTTTTCACTGTATACCTGTTTTGTTTTTTTTTCTTTTTTTTTTTCCTTTTTTTTTTTTAAGTTGTAGATAACATAAAACATTTAAACTTCTCTGATGCCAAATGTATGTACATTTCTTATTAGATGCATTATTCTCTATAATTATGTTTTAAAAGCAGAGCAACACAAAGAATTATGATATCAAGAAGACTGATACCTTTTTTATACCATATAGAATATTTAATTGTTATTTTCACAGATATTAATTTAGGTAGTTTTAGCTAGCAATTGCATTAGTACTTGAATGTAGCTGTTGTATTAGTTGTAGCATTGATAATATCAGTACTGTTTATATTATCGTTTTTTACATTCTGTTGATAATATTATCATCATCATCATTATCATTGTCATTATTATTATTATTAATATTGTTGTTGCTATCCTAATCATTATCATTATGTTATTATCATCATCATTATTATTATTATTATTATTATTATTATTATTATTGATGTTCATCATCATCATCATTAGTACTATTGTTATTGTTATTGTCATCGTTATCATAAATTATTATCATAATAGATATTTTTATTATTATTTTATTGTTATAATTGTTATTATGATGAAGGCATCATTACCATTATAATTATTGTTACTATTATCAATGTTATTTCCATTATTATTATTATTATTATTATTATTATTATTATTATTATTATTATCATTTACTGATATCATCTCCTGTCATTCATATTTAATCTTTTCAGTGCAGGTTTTCATCTCAGGACATAAGACTAGAGAAATAGAGAAAATCCTGAGATTTATCATATGTAAAATAAATCCTCTGGACCCTCAAGGTTTCCTTTTCTTTATTAACCCAGTGCCGATGGGCATGACTTGTCCGTATGTGCTATGCCCACTGTGAGGTACTTGTTTGATTGCTTTTACACATAGATGGCTACACTTGAACTAAGTCACTAATGAGCCAATTATGAGTACAACCTGTCTCACCCATTCACCCTTTTTTTTTTTATTTGCAAAAATATTTTATGTTATCTTATTTTGCTGTTACTAATGTTTATAACATTATAGTAATTATAATGTTTATAATAAAAATAACACCATCAATATTCAAAGCACTAGTAAAAAATACATTTTATCCGCCAATTGGAATCAGGTAAGGTCACAAGGTCTACTAATTGACTCCTTTTTGGCTAAGCAATAGCAGAGCCATCTATGTGCAGAGACATTTCACAAAAAATATAGAAAATGAGCACATATTTTCCCCATTTTTTATTCATTTTCCCCGGCAGCATTGGGTTAATGTAATTATCTTCATTGTACATAAAACTGTATTATCATTGTCTGCATAAAGATGGTGTGACACCTCAAGATTTGTCTCCCGCTTCTCATAATCAACTTCCTGTGGTCAGTTTGCCCCAAACTTTTATCCAATGCCACAGATCTGTTCTTGATCTATTCTAACACCTCATATACTCATCACCACCACCAAACCTAATCAGTTGGTCCCTGCATCATGTGCAACACAGCCATAATTTTTTATCATAATGGGTTTGGAACTTTTTGCAAAATCCTTTTGACAGATATCCTGTTGACAGATTAGATAGATAGTAGATACATGTATGAATATGGCTGATTAAGTAATACTATTTTGTCGGCATTAGTAAAAAAGATTGGGTAGTTTAGAGATAGGAGACTTACTTGGCGGGTTTTGTTCAGCACTGTTTCTCCTCGACTACAAAAATTGAGCAGGCAGCATTGTTTTTATTACTATTATTATGTTATTGTGTGTATTGTTATCATTATTATTATTATATTTGATATTATGTTTGTTATTATTGTTATTGTCATCATTATCATCTTTTACTAACATCACTACCATTTTTTTTTCCTTCTTTTTTTTCTTTATAGTGATCACTCCATTTTTAATTATTTCAATGTCCCCTCCTATTTCCATGTCAGATTTTGACTATGACCACTTTTGGGAGTGGACGGACTTCCAGTCATACGTAGAATTCATGCTCACGTTCTCCACCATGGGCTGCCTGCTCATGTACATCTTCATTGATTCTCCCTTGTTTGTGGAGACAGTTGGCTTCATATCAGTGCTGACAGAAGCCCTTCTAGCTGTGCCACAGTTCTACAGGAATTTCATAACTAAATCAACATTTGGAATGAGGTGAGTGTGTTAGAGGAGAGTAAAAGGATTTTGGATAGATGATGTTTGAAGATGGATAGAGACAGTGAGAGGATGGAGAGTTTGAAGTTTCATAGAAAAAGTTCAAAGCTGGGAATTTACAAGATTGGTAAGTCAGCACTATTACTTTTGGTGTGAAAATCAGCACGCC